TATGTGGTATCATACAAAATTGAAGGAAAATCATACGTTTTCGCCCATCTCAAGTAACAGATGTTTATGAGTTTCATGCGCACATTTACGTAATCTTAATTGAGTCAGAGATTCGCGTGTATGCCACGATATTGATGTGAATAACGCGCAATTGTGATGATCTTAAAAATTCGCTAGGAACACGACGTATTTGCCGTGATACCGTGGTGATTATCGTGTAATTTCTAATTTGTTTTACAAAATCCCAGGAAAAATCAAGTTTTCTCCGCGATGTAGATGACAAACCCGCCATTGCTGTGAATTAAACGAAACTGCTGGGTAAATCCCGTAATTATTTCGCGGCTGAAACTCACCAGCTAACTTCAATTAAACATTGAACTGACAAAAGTAACAAATCTTTATGAAAATAACCAACTTTTGATTGGGAATTTTTGATTATTATAATTATCATGTGAGCTTATTGCAGAACAGACCAAAATAGCAGCATACTACTAATATCAACTTTTTAATCAAACCAGTGCGTCTCGCCAATTTTGAAATAGTAGATAATAATTCAGAAACACAATTAGTAACTGATCACTAATCACAGTGATTGCTGATGGTGGGGTTTTCCTGTGCGTAGCACGGGTTTCCTGCTAGTACACTGATAAAGATTTCAGAGATATTTATTTCCATCTCTAAGTTTACATGTACTTTTTTCTCTTCTAATCAACGTGTGTCTTTCTTTTTGGTTTCTGGTGCATCACTCGGAATTTTTGGATTCAAAAATCGATGATCTTCCTGGACAACGCAAATCCTCAATTAAAAAATTGGGATCGTTCAATTAAAGGGGACACTTGATTCACTTAACTGAATCTTTAAATTAACTGGAAACTCAAATTTACCACAAATCCAACTGGACCGAAAATCTGATCTAACCCTGTTAACCAAAACTTTACTCAACCCACCAGAAACTCAAATCAATCGACCAATCGTCCGGCCGAATTTTACTTAACCAAAAACCGACAACAGTAAACTCTGCTCGACCGGAAACGTGCTCCAATCGAAAACTTGACCCAACTGGAAATTCGATCCAACCCGAAATCTGACCCATCCCAAAATTCCAACTCACTGGAACCGTAGTCCATCCGTATATGACGTGACCGGAAATTAACGCAACTGGAAACTGTTTCCAATCGGTAACTTGTCCCTGTCGAAAATTTGACTCGACTGAAAATTTGATTCGATTGGAAATCTGACCCACCGGAAACAACAATCAACGGAATTCGTTATCCACCCAAAATTTTACTTGACCGGAAATCGAAAATCTTAATTTCTACTTTACCGGAAATGTGCCCCAATCGAAAACTTGACTCAAGTGGAAATCGGCCCGACCGGAAATTTGTTCAAACCCAAAATTTGGCTGTTCTCAGATGGAAAATAACCAAATACAATACCAGTGTATCATTGATTTTCCAAAAAATCGGAACAGTTCGATTAAAGCGATTGATATATCGACTTGTTAACGTTAAAAATCGATTCTACAAGAAAAAATACGTCGGTGTCGGTCTGCTACAGTCATATTTGGTGCATATAGTCATCCATGAATCAAAAATGAACAATTTCAATCTCAAAAAATCGCCGATTTGCCGTAAAGAATCGTAAAAAATCGATATAACCAATCGATATATCGACTCGTCAACATTAAAACTCGATTTTTCGTGTAAAAATACGTAGGAATCGGTGTGTATAACATGTGAAAACAACGATAACAACCCCGTAGACACATCAATTCAACAAAAAAATAGCAAAAAATAAGGCCGGAGTTTGACCCCTTTGCCCCCCCCCCCGGTAACTCGAAAACGGTTCCTATACTCATCTTGAAATTTTTTTCTGAGTTTTCTGTTATTATTAGCTTCCACCTAAACCTTGGTTCGATGGTTGAATCGAATACCGAAAAAGGGGCGAAATTTTGGGAGGCTTTTACAGACACCTACAAATTTTCCATATGAGATACACAAAACCATCGAGAGGTTGTCGAGAGTTGATTTAATTTTGGTATTTGTACGCAAATGTTTTGGCTCCACAAGACAAATAAAGAAAAAAAAAATCACGTGGTCAAGACCTGTTAGTTACGTCTACCTAGATCAAAAACTGATGAAGCAAGACTTCCCTTCACTCCGATTTGAGCACTTTGAAATCTTTTAATCCGCTTATCGACAATTGTTTGCTTTGATGTCTTCTCTCCGACAAAAAAATATCTAAAACTTAACCACATCCAGCGCAATGAATTGAGAGCAAATAATCGACTTTCAATGTTTATTCCTCTCTTACAGCGAGTGTTACTAAAATTTAATTAAATGGAACATGAGAAATAAGTCTTTAAATTTCTTCTGAATTAAACAAGAAAATTCACAAGCGTAATTAAAAAATATTGCTACATTTTTCGATGCTAAAAATGATCAAAATTCTGTGCTCGTGGTTGTTGCTTGTTGGTCCAAACTCATTGTCAGCAGAATTGGATTGGTGGGAAACTTCTGTAATTTACCAAGTATTCCCTTGGTCATTCAAGGACTCGAATGGAGACGGCATTGGTGATTTGAACGGTAATTTTCTCTCTATATCAATATTTTATTGACGTACTTATAATGGTTCAATGAAATAAAAACATTTTTTTTTTCAGATTGGTGGCTGAGGTCAAAAAATGCGGAACTCCGATTGTGACGTAGAACGAATTGCAGCTCATGTTATATTTCTTGAAAAAAAAAAAATTATCTTTTTCTAGACATTTTGCGTGAATTTTTTCAATCATTCAAAAATGTTTGTAGACAATTTTGCGGATATATTTTGAGTGCGGCTTCCCTTTTTTTTTAAAAAAAATAAATGAAATAAATAAAAAAAACAGAAGTGGAGATTATGAAATGGTGAAATTAAGGATTTATACAATTTAATTAGGATTTTTATACATTTATATTTTTTTTTGACCTTCCCTTTGGTTCCGTTGAGGATTCCACATCCTGACTACTTTTCTAGTACAGGGTCACTTTTGTGGTAACAATTGATTTGGCTCCAGTTACAGTGCAGTTTCTAATTGTCACCAAAAAAAAGTAACATATTGTACGAAACATGTAGGTCGGTAGTTCGTGGAATCCACAATGAGCATTGTAAAAACGACGAGATTCCCCTTCTTGTTAACCATGGAAATGTGATCACATCACTAAAATCAAGAAATAAGATAAACAAATGAAGAAAGAATAATTGATGAACTGTGTAAGTATAGAATGGCTCTTGGTCAAAATGTTGCAAGATAAGGAATAGCGCGTTGCGAATTGATTCAAATTCGATCAAATATTTTTCAACGATTTAAAAAAAAAAATTGATACGTGTCAATAATAATTGCAATTGGTTGATGGGCAGAACCATTTTTTCTGAAAGACGCCTTGCTCTTTTCTTTTAAACTTGGTTAAATTAGTCATATAGATAAAAATTGAAACGCTAAAATAAAATGAGATGCTAAATCTTCAAATTAACAGGAATATACGAGAAACTAGACTACATTAAAGATTTAGGGGTTGACGTTGTGTGGATCCAGCCGGTTTATAGATCTCCGATGATTGACATGGGCTACGATCCTATTTCCATGCGAGAAATTGACCCGATTTTTGGGACGTTGGACGATATGAAAAGACTGATTCAAGGAGCGCACGAAAGGAGTGAGTATTAGAAGCATTTTTAAAGTTGAGGAAAGAAGAGAGTTTTAGTACTAAAATTCTTATCATAAAAAAAACAAGTTATGTTTTAACCATGGACTTCTCTAAGTCATTCATAAATACGGGGCTTATAACCCTATAATCTCGCCACTATGGGCCTGTTGCAAACTTTTACTAGAGCAAAAATGGACGTATTTCTATCAAACGGAACTACGTGCATTGAGACATGAGCCCTGGGATCCATAAGAATATGTGCATAACAGGGTTCACGTTACGAGGCACATAGTTCCGTTTGATAGAAATACGTCCAAATAAGAGTTATTCCTTATATATAATGAAAAAATTAAACACTAAGAAGTGGCCCGAACTGTATATAACAAAGTGGAGAAATGGTGCTGGGTCCACACCATTTCGCAGGGAAACAAAGCCAAGAAAATACCAAAAATTAGAATTAGAGTCAAAATTAAATTTTTTAAACTCCCCGCGAAATGGTGTGGACCCAGCACCATTTTTCCGCACCTTCTTATAGACAATGTCTCAAAAATTACGATGAACGCATCGGCAAACTCTGAAATGCACACCTAACTTCAAAATCTGCGAGAGAAGTTTGCGTTTTTTTTTTAAGATTCCTGCTTTAAAAATGATACTACAGCACAGGTGAACATTTCGTTAGAGGAGTCGTTCCACTCAATCCCTGCTCAACATGGCTAACGCTTTCGCGCGCAAGTTGAGGAGAGCACAAGGTCAATCTAGGTGGATATCTATCAACGCGAAAAAAATGACAAATGTAAACACGCCGATTGTTATCAGGTGGTTAGAAGTTAGAATAATCGTCCCGGTCACATTTGTTTTGGCGGATTGGCGTTGGTCATGTTGAATATTGCGTAGTATCCTTGTGAGCAGGGGTTGGATGGAATGACTCCTCTAACGAAATGTTCATCTGTGCCGTGGTATCTTTTTTGAGGCGGGAAGCTCGAAAAAACGCAAATTTCTTACGCAAATTGTGGAGTAAGGAGTGCATTCCAGATTTTGCCGATGTGCTCATCGTGATTTTTGAGACACTTTCCCTGAGTAACAACTCTTATTTTTGCTCTAGCAAAAGTATGCAACAGGCCCATCAACATTACACATCACATTACATTTTTTCATTAAACTATGTTCTTCTCTGTTCTTCAAATCCATTTCCTTCAAGAAAACAAAGGCCTTCTTTTATTCAAAATTTGAAAAACACACATTAGATCAAGCAGTGGGAGTAGGTTTATTCAAAATAAAATTCAAGCAGCTACTTTACCCCGTTGCTTTGTCTGTAAATCTTATTATAGAATTTTTCGCTAATTTTATATTATTATCGTTTTTGTTTGAAATTTTCCTTTAATTCAATTTTTTACGAAAAACAGTGGTCACGTGTGCAATCAGAACACCTCTGCATAGAATGATTATTTGATTTAAGTGTATCGTAGTGCACCGCGTTGTCTTTATATCGCACACTATTTACCTTTTTTTCCATGATGGTTGCAGACTTAAAGGTATTGATGGATTTTGTGCCAAATCACACGAGCAACGAGAGTGAGTGGTTTAAACGCTCCGTGGAGCGAGAAGAACCTTACACGGATTACTTTATTTGGCACGATGGCAGACCCGTCAATAACACCCACAGAGTTGAACCAAATAATTGGGTTAGTATAGATTGCAGATCCATCAATTTATTCATGATTTTATCTTATTAAGATTGACACAAATGTTTGGGGTTGGCGTAGATTCATAATTCATCAGTTTGCACATCATGCGCTTGTATTAGGATGACACCAGGGATTTCCTCAACCGCCAATCCTTCGATACGTAACAGTAGAGGCAATTAGCATTCGCCAGTGATTTGCAAGCTGCATGTCCCCTAGTTATTCAAAAATAAACATTGACATGATCGAATATTCCAGCTGTAAAGAACTTCAAAGGCTCGATCCTTGTTTGGAGCGCCTGCGGTTTCCTGAGATACTCTCCTCTTTGCCACGGAGTTAGTTTAGTTGCCTATTTGAACTAAACCCAACTGTAAGGTCACTGGCTTCATTACATGCTTGCGCGCGCGAGTATGCGCCACAGTAGCCGCAGTTTACATGCAGTAAAGCAGAATTAAACGTCGAATACAATTCCAGACATAATAATTAGTCATCTTTTCTTGTCTCTTGCTTTCATTTTTCTATTTATCATGTCATTGGTAAGAAAAATGCATCAACGAATCTGAGAAAAGATAAAACTTTACAAGATGCGAAATGTTTTAAAACGTTCTCGACAGCTGGCAAAGGAAATGGTCTCCTAATCGAAAAACGTATCTACGGTGAAACTCCCAAACCACGTATCTGAGGTGTTTTAAAAACTCTGCTTCTGCTTTATTTTTTATAATTTAAACAAATCAATATCATACTTTAAAATTTTCACAGAATTTTCGTCGCACATAGAAGAAAAATTACAGCAGTTTTTTAGACATGTCTTTGAATTGTTTTCCATTTAAACAATGAAGTGTGACAGGAAGTCTCCTGAGTCGCAAACCGAGGTACGTGGTTTAGATGTGGGAGTTTTACTATCGATATAGCTGTTTTTAATTAAATTGATAAATAGGTTGTGAGCTCTTTTGCTCATGTATTTTGCCAACAGAGAAAGTAAATTTGTACAATAATCCATCAATTTTAAACCCTGGAAATGGCAGATTAGAGTTTTAAACAGCTTTGTCTCAATTTTTTTTTTAATATGTTGTTCTTTTTTGTCTAATTATAAATCATCGTGTGACCTCCGTTTTGTTCTGAAATTTTGGAACTTTCTCTTCCAACATATTCATAGAACACTGCACACTGTGCTCTCAATTTTGATTTCTTTTGGACTGAGGTCTCTTTTCCCGTTAGCGTTCTCACGTATATTGTCAAAAGTATAGCGGCTATGATTTGTGTAATGCAGATAAGTCAATTTACCGATCACAGTGCATGGACTTGGAACGAAAAACGGCAGCAGTACTATTTTCACCATTTTAGCGAAGAGCAACCTGATTTGAACTTACGTAATCCAAAAGTTCAAGGAGAATTGGAGGTACGTGAAGTATATCTACTTTGTTACCTACAGTGAGATGCATTTTGGAACTCTTCTAAAATGGAGTAAAATGCTTTACGAAGGAAATCTAACGCTTCCATGAACTCAATGAGCTCAACTTCACCTCACAGCCAGGTTGGCCTGGTGTTCAGTGCGTGTGACTCCAGGTTAAAAGGTTCCGGGTTTAAATCATGATAGTGTCGCGTCAGATTTTCGCAAAACTATTGAAAGTGAATCTGAAGAGACAGATTCCATTCGGCCTGAAATCTTTTAATAATTTGAAAAGTCCAGAGCATGGATGCACTTATCCACTGATGTCTAAGGACAATTAATAGAGACTAGATTTGAATGTAGATTTCTGACGGAATGTAAGACATTAGGCCAGTAGAGAAAGATTACAAATTTTGCGTGATTCCGCAATTGGATTCTTATACTTATGACTCATAACTAGGAGCAAGCTATTTTTTTAACGGGTCGCACATTTTCTTTAATAATAGGAATGATCTAATTTCCATTTTTACTTGCAAAATTCATATATTTTTATCTTTTTCTTCTTCTTGCACAATCGACTAGGGACTAGCCCTGTTTTTTCAGGTCATCCAGTATCGAGCGCAATAAACTATATAAATATTAAAAATCTGAAAATCGCTAAAAATTAAGGACGCGTCCAATCAATAGAAACATAATGAAATCTTCAATCATCATCCAGAGAGGATCCCCCCTTTGTGCCTGTCTCTTAGGCGGTCGTCTAGGTAATCTTTTCTGTAAGGGTTGGTATATTTTTATGGACATCCATATTATCACATTTCCTCACAGATTTCGCATTATAAAATTTTCCATGAGGAGTAACATGTTATATCTGTCACAGAGCCTGCTCAGATTTTGGTTGGACCTGGGGGCGGATGGTTTCCGTGTTGATGCGGTTCCGTATTTCTTCGAAGCGGCTCATTTGCGAGATGAACCGGAGATCAATGATACTGACATTTCGAGTAACTTTTATAAAAGATTGCATATATACACCATGCGTCAACCAGAAAATCTTCAAATTTTGCAGTCATGGCGAGAGTTCTTGGACTCGTACAAAAAAAAAGATGGTATAACCAGGTATGGATTCAAATTCTTAAATCGTGGTTTTTATTTCATGGTTGAATCTAAGGGAAAAAAATCCTCTAATCCTATAGATTCGTTCAGGGGTGGGTCAGCAGGCTGATTGTTGAAATTGATAGACAATGCGATAGACAAAGAAGACAAAAGGAGTATCGAGCGTCCCTATTGATTGGAATGGTTGGTCCTTCTACTGAGGGAGAAAATGATGCTGAGAGTCCAGACTCTTGAAAACATTGACAAGAAAAAATACTCTTGATTCAATCAGATTTTTGCTTAAATCAATAGGAAATCCGATCAAATTAAGAGGCTTGGTTCTTGATTTAAGCAAAATTACGATTGAATCATAAATATTTTTTCTTGTCGATGTTTTTAAGAGTCTGGACTCTAGATCCAATGTGCTTTTTTTCTCAGTGTATTCCTGATTTTTGGCTCATGTATTTTTCCTTGAAAGAGGCAGTGACCGATGCCAATAAGTAGGAAGCCCCCCCTCCTCGTTGCTCCTGACTTTCCAAAAGAATGTTCAACACCTTTTTGGATTGGTCGCGATGTGACCTATTGGCTCGCAAAGCGAGTGATCGGGGGTCCAGGGGGCGGAGCCCCCCGGAAAGCGAAGAGCGAAGCGAGCTGAAGCAGCTAGTTTTCGATAAGCGTCCTTACTAATTTTCTTGTGAGATAATGAGTACAATCCATTTATTTGTTTTTTAAATCACACAACTTTCAGACTTTTAGCCGTTGAGGATACTGGACCGATGGAAGGTATAATCCCATTATTTGGAAATGAATCTCATCCGGCGGCCCACTTTCCTTTTAACTATGGCCTACTCTACCTTGACTACACAATGAATGTGACCGTGTTGGATAAAACAATTCATGATTTGGTCGATCAACTACCAATCAATCGTTTACCCAACTGGATGGTAAGAACCCACGTAAAAAATAATGAAAGATACTGAGATAATCTTTGTTTCTGAATCTTAGAGGGACTCTCGCCGACCAATGTTCTCTGGGTCTTGTTTAAAAATAGGAATTCCAAAAGACTATAAACTATCTCAATTTTGAGGGGATGTTTATGACCCTTACTATATTGCAGATGAGTCCCTTAAAGCAAGAAACCAATTTTTATTTGTTCTTCAGCGCCGTTGGCCAAACAGTTTGAATTTTGAGGCACTCCGTAGAGAGGGATCTTGACGATGCTAGGTACAGGATATCTGCGTCTCTCTTACACCATTTTGCTTTAACAATGCTGCGCAGGGTTTTCATCTGCATTACTTCAATTTTATATAGATTTGACTTGGCTGCACAACCCCGAAATTGGCAACCGTAACTCCAAACCGGCCTCAACATTGACTTGTAGAGAAGCAACTTTAGTTCTTGGGAAAGTCGAGATTTGCGCCTCACGAGCCACTGCATATTTGAGACTTTAAGTCGCAGTTGAGCGACCTTTTTTTTTTTTTTGAATGTGAGCGCAGAATCCAGGTGGAGGCCAAGATATTTAGCGATAGTGTTGTTGTAGGGATCTGAACTTCCCCTTAAAGTAAAAGAATGTGAGTAAACGGTCTAATAGTGAAAACAACTTCAACCAATTTAGACGCGTTAAGCTTAGTTTTGTCTTTTTTAGTCATTTGTTTATTTTGTTTAAATGTAACTGTGCATTAAGCCGTGCCTCCCTGTAGCTTCGAGACGATGCTAACCGAGAGTTTCGTCTGCATAAATGCCCAACTCTGGCACTGCTTGAAATCAAATCCATTCAATTTACAGACGGAATCCCACGATCTTTGGCGGATTAGCTCACGTTTCGGAACTGACGCTGTGGATTCCTTTAACATGTTAAATCTGCTTCTTCCGGGTTCTGCGTGTGTTTATTACGGCAGTGAGATAGGACTCGAGGAGAGTATGGTCAGGAGGGATCAAAGCACGAAAAATACCGCATTCGCAGTACTGCCTCTCAACCGAGACATAATCAGAGGACCCATGCCTTGGGACGATACTAAAAATGGAGGTAGGAGGATACCATTCCCCTCTTTTTCGTAATAAGAGAGATTCTTGGTTAAAAGATTTAGGAAATTTGGAAAAGTATTTAATTCATCTGGAAGAGACTTTTTTTTTTTTCGTAACTCGGGTTTAAGCAGCATTTTGGGAAATGCGGTCAAGTTCTTCAACCCTACCGGAGAGAGAGCCGAGAGATCCTTCCGAATTTTTATCCCAATCATTTGGAACTTTGGTCATACAAATAATAACGGTGGCTGTCAGCCCTGCATGTGCTTTTTACCACTCAACATCGAGGCTTTAGTTTGTTTTTTTCTCCGTCCTGGGTCCATCATAATCCTTTGTAAAAGCTTCCAACATCTTGCATTAAGCGCGTCGTTTAGTCCACGCCACGATTCTATGGAGCAGTTTAATTGACGTTGCAGAGCAGTTGCATGTACCATTTTTTTGCAGGTTTCACAACAGCTAAAAAGCCGTGGCTGCCTCTAAGTTCAAGATACTGGCTAGAAAATGTGAAAAAACAAGTGCAGGAGCCGAGAAGTCATTTGAACATCTTCAAACGGCTTGCGGCATTAAGGAAAACGCCCATTGGAAGATATGGAGACCTGAAGACGCATGTAGTTAATACATGGACGTACCTGTTCACGAGGTTGGTATTCTGGGTACACCCATTTATTTTAGCAGCTGCTATGTACCTAATTTAGGGGTAAAATCTAAGCAACGTTCATAACATTCAGCATTTATAAGATGAATGTGTCCTCATTTGCGAAAAAATTAGCAATCACTATCATCGAAGATCAACGAATAAGAGTGCAGAATTCATGTTTAACTTGATCCTCTTCTCGTCTTCTAATTTATGAGGATTATTTAATTGATAAATGGATTAATTTAATTAATTAATTAATTTATGATTGATTTTATTTAAGCGAAAATCACATTGCTGAACAGTTCGAAAGTCTTGGTGAGGGCGCTGGTCATCATTGGCGGGGCTCCAAATCCTAAAATTTAATTGCCTCGTGACACCCGTTCAGGGCCTCTCAAAATCCGCCTTTTAGACTTCATTGATATGCACACTCATCAAGTTTCTTTAAAACTGCTCCTTGGCATTTTTATGAACTCCTTTACAGTTCCATGCGGACGGTTGAAACTTCCACAAACGGTGCGAAAAGATATTTCTGTGTTTGCATTACAGAATTGTCTCAAAAGGTCATATTTTACATTCATAAAAGTCCGTAAGAAGTTAATCAATACCTCCGAAGACTCATGAAATTATGAACATTTCAAGCACGAGCAAATTCTTCATATAAAGTTCACGGGATTGGTCCATGATTTCAAATCAAAACCAAAATATATCTCATCCAAAATGTACCTACGGCTTATTCCATTACATTCTATAATTCTTAAATTATGTATTTTTGAAAACAACGAGAGAAATTTCTACATGATTAAGAGGAAATCATTCTTAATTCTGCAGGAGTGCCAACAATCATACCATTGCTGTTGTAATTAACCTTGGGTCAGAATCGGAGAAGATTTGTTCTGAAGATTCCAACTTTGGTCTACCTGAAATAATGTTCGTTCACACTGGAAGTTTAAATTCTGGCTTTGAGGCAGGGTGAGTCTAGTTAAATCATTTTTGAAATTTATTATAGCATACGATCTTATTCTGATTTCAAATTTTAACATGATTTGGTCGGATCATGTGGAAATTGTCCATACACTAAATTATATATTACACGTGTCATTTAAAAGTAAGTTTTCTTTTTTATTCCTTCTGAAAGTACAGAGGATGAATCGAAATGGTAAACTACGCTAAGATTTTGAAAATGCATTTAGAAATTTACAAGAAGCAAATTTACAGAGACTACATCCGCATCTGTGTGCCCGGCACCCACTGCGGCAGATTCCATTGCAGTTCGCAGGAGGGCTGAAAGCAAGGAGTGCTGTAGGTAAGGAAAGAGAGCTGAAAGCAAGGAGGGCTGTGAGGAAAGAGAGCTGAAAGCAAAGAAAAACCAAATGTTCTCTATCTTTTTATTCTCAGCATCATTATGATGTGCTAATTTGAGATTATCCATCAACTAAATAGCCAGAAAATTAGTTTTTGTGGACCGATCTGCACTTTCAACGCATGTTAACCTTTTAGCACCTCTTGAATTGATAGTGATGGACCACAGGACAAGATAAGAAATAAACCACTAAAAGACATGTTAATTGTTATCCCATCAAAATTTCACTCCAAAAACAAAGTATTTTAAACAATTCAACTTTACCTTGTTCATGTTCACCCATGATACCTTTCAGTTGTATTACTCGTTTCAGGGAAAAAATCAGAGTTGTGAACTCAAAGGTGCAATCTTGCGCGGAACTAAGGCCAAAAGCTGGACTAGTGATGACAACTTACAGAAGCAATGGCATAGTATGGAGTTTAGCTCTATGGCATCTCCTCCTTGGAATTGGAGTGAGCATCCTCTGGCAATCAGGAATCTACTAATTCATCTTTAACAGTTAACACTCATCTCTACGTCGGCGTCGGCGGTCGGCATGAAACGCATAGCGCCTACAAGACTGCATGAATACTTCACGCATTGCGCCCAACGTAGTGCGGTCTTGGAGCGGCGCGGCGGCGGAAGTTAAAATTATTAACCACATTTATGTTTGTTCTTGTAATTTTTTCGTTCATTTGTTATAAATGGAAGGCCTTGTCCAAACAGGGGTGGGTTTACGGAACTGAACTTTCGCGCAAAGTTCCGTGAACTCTTGTTAGTGTTGACAGGACTTTCACAAAAAATGTGCCCAACACGAGTTGACGCGTCTATTACACCCCTCCCTACCGGCACGTTCACTCGATAGTTTTTATAGATCGTATTCGATAGATCACTATAGGGGGGTTTTAGAGGCAACAGAGATGGACTTCTGGCGTAGATCCGCTGGTATTTCCAGAAAGGATCGCGTCAGGAATGAGACGGTACGGGATATCATGGATGCCAAACAGACCATCGTGCATGACATTATGACAAAACAACTCATTCAGTATGGTCATGTCCAGAGAATGGCAGGAGACAGGTTGCCGAAGAAGGTCCTTGACTGGGTTCCTCCTGGGAGAAGACGCAGAGGGCGCCCAATGAAAGGTTGGAGGGAAGGGATTGAAGCGGAAATGTTAAGGTGCTTAATCCTCCAAGATTTGTGGTTTGAAAGAGAGCAGTGGAGGTTAGGAATCGTAGAGCGCGAGGGAGTGCTGTAAAGCGACTTATATATATTCGATAGATGACACGAGTGAGATTATATTGATATCGATTGGTTTAATAAGTAACAAGGTGGAGAAATGGTGCTGGGTCCACATCATTTCGCGGGGAAAAACGAAGCCGAGAAGTTCCAAGTTATATTCCAATGCAAACTGCCTGAGCTAAACACTCTCCTCCCTCAGTGTTGTACTGGTACTCATTAAAGTTAAAAAAAATTTATTTTTTACTCTGATTATAATTTTTGAAACTCCTCGCGCGGCTTCGTTTCCCCCGCGAAATGGTGTGGACCCAGGACCATTTCTCCACCTTGTTACATACAGTAATCGAGCCACTTCTTAGTGTTATTTTCTCATTTGGTTCAATAAATAAACACAACCTCAGAAGTCAATTTAGAAATCTGAGGTAACGGGTCTTTTGTGATCGAATTCTTACTCTCTCGAGTATCAAATGGCAATGAAAAGTGAAATTGTTAGGAATGTTCTCATTTTCAACTTTTCCAAATTAAATCCAAAAATTTTTAATTGAAGTTATGTTCTATTGTTTTGAACCCAACGATACATCGAACCACTATCGAATACGATCTATTGATGTTTCAAAACGAATGAAAAGGGGGCGGAAAAATTCAGGCGGCCCATGGGCGGCAAGTAGGTAAATTCGGCCATGTTCCAGACACCTCAAAATAGAAATGACGACATTTCAACTTTTTTTTTTTTAATTTTTACGATGAAAGTACTTCCTCTACCCACGAAAGGAGTGAGCAAGTAAAGGGTTTGATCATAATGGGCCGGGCGTGGGTTGTTCACTAAAAGAAAAAAAAAATTCAATGGAATTTTTTGCATAAATACAAAATCCTCTTTCCCCAAAAGGATTTTTTTTTTCAGAGTAAGAGTCTTTTTCGTTAAAAAATTGCTGGAAGTGAAAAAATTATTTTTATGGCACCAGGAAAGATTTTGGAAAATTTGTCACTGATGCTCTCTTTTTTGAGCGCGCTACTCAAATTAAGAGGTGGATTAGTTTTAGCCGTTCGGCTCCTCTTGTTACCCATCCTGATGTATTCTGAGCAAATAGAGCCAAACCGGCACTACCTAGTACCCGATTATTTTTTGGCAGATCAGCAAACCAACACAGAAAATGTGTCATTCAATAATAATTTTTCTAGTTTCCCTAAGCTGAAGAGCTTAGGGAAACAAAGCTCCTCCAAAAGCAAAGCAAAGTTCCTCCAAATTTTTCTTGTGCAGTTTTGTTGTTGCATGGGCAAAAAGTTTCTACGGATCTGGGTGTTTCCTTGGAAATTTTAAAACCACCTAGTGCGACATACACCCTCAGCCTTACCCTCACACACACCAAAAAAAAAAAAGAAAGAAAAGAAAAGAAAAGAAAAGAAAAGCAATTATAAGTATTACCACTCACAACCATACCAGGAGCGAGGAGCATGCATGCATGTGGAAACCGGAACGCTGCGGCTTTGGACTGTTCCGGGACGATCTATCAACACGAGAGGACTCTCTCTCCCTCAGAAGTCCCCACAAGTATAACCAAGTATTAGGGCAGCAGGAGCAATAAAGCGGTCGCCTAGGCACGGAACATCGGTGGCCGACTCAATGGTGGCCGATCGCGCTGTCTGAACACACTCTCTCTCTCCTGAATCCACAGATGTCCTCACAAGTATAGCAGAATACTCACTCTTTTGTGTGAAAGTATTAGGCGAGCAAGGGCGATCAAGCGGTCGCCTCAATACTTGCAGCGGGGTCGCTCATCAGCTCTTTCATTTTGCAAGGGGTCCCTCCGGAACTAATTGCATCATGTTTGAGTTTTTTGAGCTAATTTTTTGCAGGAGATCAATGATGATTATTCGGGTACAGGTCCAAAATGCTGAATTGAGGGACAATTTTTAAATTTTTTTGTATCAGATATGCTGTTCACCATTAAAATGGAAGTATCGAAACATCCATCTGCTTCGATAGCCCTTTAAATTGAAGTGCTTCCTCGCAAACAGTGCGTTTCCGCGATGTTCGCACTTGCCGCCGAATTCAGTGTGAAAGCGGATTATTTTTTGGGGAGCTCTGACGCCGCGTACTTTTGGCTCTAATACAGTTTTTATAGATGTTTCCAATGTGAAATTTAGAGCCTTTCAATCCTAGTCCTATTACTCTTTATGCTCAGATGTGCGGTTTCTGAGATAATTCGCATTTTATTCAAAAATCCGTGGATTTTTATAGTCAATGTTTAGTTTTATGGGGGTTTTGGGGTCTAATTTTGGGAGAATTTTGGCGAATTTTAGTTCATTCGATTTTCCTTGATCTCCTGAAGAAAATGAGCCCAAAAAAGTATTTTGGACATAAATATTTACCAATTTACAATCAGGACGGTGTATTTTTTCGATAAACCCCGCCCGTATGTTACCAGCAGTGACGATTTTGCAAGTTGGCATCACTGGTTTTCCTCCATTTATATTCATTGAAAATATCGACTCCAGTTGAGACGAGCTGCCTAACCAAGAATCGATTAATTAACATTCATTTAAATAAATAGGAATAACATTGTTGCCAACTTTGAAAATCGCCAGTGGTTACCAGGTCCATTATCTCAAAACTGTATTCTTCGATTGAATGACAGCATGAGGAACTCAGAATTTGAAAAATCAATGATAAAACCGGAGTATCATCAGAACTAAAAAACGTGTGTTTAATTACATAGGTATTTACAAAAAATTACATTAATGGAATGATTCACGAATGAAATAAATTATTTCTTGTCGACCCTTTTGATGGTCCCCGTTCTCGAGCTGCCAAGTTCACAGCCTGCAACGGGGGTCGTTTCAGTCTCGGTCGACACCGTTTTCTTGAGGATCGGCGACGGCATCTTGGTCGGCTGAAGCCCCACCCCCAACCCCCGACCCGTATTCGTTTGAGCTTCAACCTTCTTCGAGCCTTTCACCGGCTGACTAGCATTCGACTTAATTATTATTTTCGGCTCTTTGCGCAGTTGCAATATTTGGGCCCCACCCGTACCCGCTTTTTTCGGAGCTTCGCTCGAGGTATCAGTGCTGGAACTCGTAGGGACTTCCGGCGTTTTCGACGGCTCCTTTCTAGTGCTCGTGAGTCTGATATTGAGCGCGGTGTTGATAGGGCCTATGTTGGGCTTCCGACCCAGCGTCGAGATCCTCGGTGGGGGCGGCGGCGGGACTCTATTTACGTCCTTCCGATTCTGGAATTCCAGGCGCTTGGCGTGCATCGTGAGGACGTGGGCGTTGGGCGGGAGCGACATCCGTTTCGCCCTCCGGTGGGCGTCCTGGGGCACCGTCATCTGCCGCGTGTAGTCGGGCTGCTGCGGGAAATCCGGGAGGACCTTAGGGAAGTTCCGCTTCTTGATGTTGTCCAGACACTCCTCGCTGGTCGCCTCGCTGTCCGCCGACAGGAGGGGCGAGCAGCGTGACGTCACGTTTATGTCCTCGTAATGGCTGCTGGATTCGAAGCTCTTCTGATTGGTCAGAGCGCGCGTCGCCGGTTTCTTGAACTGGATCGACGAGAAGCTCTGCAATATTTCAGGCGAGCTTTCTTTCTTTGACTTATTGGGGTTGAGCTCTATGTCTATGACCTGTCCGCAGGACAGAGGACTAAGGACGGGCACTGAGTCCGACTTAAGGTGGATGTTGTCTGTAGAGGTGGTTATGGAACTTTGGTTTTGAGCCTTGCTCTGTATGGATATGTCGCTCTCTGAAACAGCATTTGAACGTTTCAGCGACGACCTTTGAGTCAGAGACGACGAGCTATCCGCGCTACAGAACATGCGCCCTTTACCCTCGTCCAGGGATTTCGTCAACTCGATTGGGATTTGTTTCAGGACGCTTCCGGTCCTGGTTGCGGGGGTGGCGTCGACTGCCACGTTCACTTTCTTCGCTTTCGGTTTCAATCGATGTATCGAACCGTTGCTCGATCCGATATCTTTATCGATTGGCTCGAAGTTTCGCTGACCGTAGATTCCTTCTTTATGTTTAGTTTCGGGGGTCCCGTCGGTTTTTCGCGGTCCGTAAATCCCCTCCTTTTGTTTCCGTAACGTATCGTTGCCGTGCTTCCGCTGGCCGTAGATATTTTCATGGCGGATGTCGTAAATCTTGGCATTGTTCTTCTGGTCTTTATTCCGAACACCGTAGAGCTCTTTATCTAACGCTGGGTCTTTTTTCGAGCCGTAAATTTCTTCCTTCGTTTTCGCCTTGGAGCCGTAAATGTCCTCCTTGTTTTTCGCGCCGTAAATATTCTGCACGAGCCGCGAGCCGTAGATCTCCTCCTTGGTGGCGTAAGGGTTCTCCATCTTCAGCATGGTTTGCTTCACCGTGAAATGAGGGGTCGTCGATTTGCAGGCCGAGGAGGACGACTCCATGAACTTTGAGCTTTTGTAAATCTCCTCCTCTTCATTTTTGTTGGCGCCGTTCCGGGTTTCCGGGTCGGTTTTCTTCTTGTCCTTCGGGGATTTTTTCTTGCGTCGAAGGAACTTGGGCGAAACGCGGGAACGGAGTCCTTGCGTGATCCACTCTCGGACCTTCGTGTGAGGGTCCATGGTGGCCGCGCTACCGCTTCGTTTCCGGTTGAGCCCCCACCGTTTCCGGTTCTTCCTACCGCCCGTTTCCGGTTTGAGCGAGGCGATTTTGAAGGGCTCGTACAGACACTCGTTCGTCTTGTTGGTGATTTTTTGGACTTCCGGTTCCTTGGACTCGATCGGGAAGTCTGATTCCTCCGTTTCCTCCATTTTTTTCGTGTACCGATCGTCGACGTCGTAGTCGTCGCTTCGATTCCCGGTGCACCGGAAACGGTTGTTGAACAGCCTTTCCCGCACTTTGAGTTTGCTCTTTTGGACGCAAATGGCGACGAAGCAAAGCGTGTTCAAGAGTAAGAAACAGATACAGCCTATCAAGACGGCGGTAGCTGTGATGGATGACGTCAGGTTCGCTGATTGGACCACCGATTCGCGCTCTCTGTCCATGAGACCAATCACAGAGCTGTCCTCGCTTTCGGGGCGGTCCATGATATCGTTGTTGGAGTTGCGGCTGTCCTCGTGCACCACTTTTCCGTACACTATCTCGTCCTTCTTGTTTTTTGGAACGGGCCTGAAAGGGAAATTGCTGAAAGGATCGAAGTTGTTGAAAGCTGGTGGTGGATCAGTAGTGTCCTCAGGTTTCTGGTCGAATTTGTAGATAGGAATCGGGGGATCTTTATCCCAGTTGTTTTGCTTTTGGCCCTCATATTTGTCGTGGTAAGTAGGGTCCAAAAATGGAGGCACGTTCTTGGATGGGTATGGTCTGGGCATCGGTAGTTTTAAGGGATTCTCTAAAACCTCAGGGAGAACCTGATTCCAATAAGACATCATCTCCTGCCTGTAGTGGTGGCCAACAGTGGGTGGAATGTCTGAAACACAAACCAACCAAGTCGTGAGTTTGAAGTGCCGTGGTGAAAGAAAAAATCTTAGATCTCGCTTGTGGAATGACGCAAATTACACGGGGAAAAATGGATTGCTGATTAACAATTAAATTGTTAAAAAAAGTGACAGGCATGTTTCAAATGTAAATTTTACAATAGTGAAAAGCTAATGCAACCACGAGCGTGGTTGAATTAGCATTTTTTTATTGTAAAATATACATTTGAAACATATCTGTCACTTTTTTAAACAACAAAATTGTTAAATCAGCAATATCATTTTTTCCGTGATACCTGTGTGATTTTAATCGCCGTGTGACAAGGACAATCTCCTTTAATTTTCACGATTTCCCAAAACTTTTCTCTGCACTTTCCAAACTATATTTCCTTATTTCATAAAAAAGTGCTGTTTAGTTTATTTAAACATGGAATGATAGAAACAAGTATAAGAAAAACAATTATTGAGAGACTTGGAGGACAAGGCGTATGAGTGCAGTTTTTGAAAAAATCGAGATATAAATAGTTTCAAGTAGAAATAGTCTCAATGCATATTTTGTGAAAAATTCGTTCCCAAATTCCAATTTTTAAGCATCGAGAAGTCTATTGAACTTTCTTTTCCCCAAAAGGATCCATGTACTTTCGAAACTTTCAACAAGTATTTCTCGAAATAGTAAAAACTGCACTTATGCGCATTGTCCTCCAAGCACCTCAATGCTGAAATTTTTGAATTTTACATGCAATGTAAATGTTTATGATCAATTAAACTTTTATTTTAAACGCATCCAGTCTGAGATCCATCCCTTAAGCCCCTGGTCACATTTATACAGCTTACGATTTTTCATTCACGAAAGAAAACTGAAAACTCAGGTATGAAGTAAAAAACGTATTCCAAGAATATTACCTAATTTTAAAAATGTTTGGTTGACGGTGTCGTATTCGGGCCAGTGTATGTTTAGCTGGCGCCATTCTTTTGGAACTTGAGTCAGAAATCCATGTTTCTGTAAAGGATTTGGATTCCTGGAAAAGAAAGAACAAAATGAGGACGGAAAAAGAAAATACATAACTCCATTCTATGTTTATTTTTCTACAGGTGCAAAAAAGCAGTAGGTACCACTTGTTTGTGACACCAACCAACTTGACGTAAAGATACTGGCACAAACTAACTAGTACTTGATAGATACTAAAAACGCCTTCATTGTATCGCATAGACCAACCGATGACGGCAACGTTAAAATAGAAGCATGATGAAGTAAAGCACTGCGACAGAACAAATCCAGCACATTCAAGCAAAAGAAAGTCTAAAATACGCAGGATTCTATTGGCTGAAAGGCATAAATTGGATTGCAAGATTGGAGTTTAGCTTGGGCCGAATGTGATGCTCTTAGCCTGTCATAAATGGACTACAGTTTTCAATATGTAATCACCGTCTAATTTTAGGAACAATAAGTGTGCCATTAGTTTCCCGATGTAGATTAGTGCTTTTATAGACGAGCCAAAAATAGTGGTGCCTTATTGTAAAATGAAGTCCAAATTGAGGACTATGCGGTAAAATCACATTTTTCAGCCAGCATAGATGAGGGGTCTTTCTATCGTTACCATCCAAAAAATTCATTTCGCGTATTGCCCTAGGTAAGATAACGTTAAGACATCTTCACGATAGAGGGTTAAAATCTCACGATAAAGGGATGACTTTGGCGCTATGTAAATACTCGAATTGGTTCCGGCCGGCACTTCTTGATTTGATTTCGGAACCAAGTCCTCCCCATCTGACTGTCATGGCCCTGGAAAGTGCACTGTCGAAACACGGCCACTCGTTGGCACATCGCATCTCGGCCGTGTTTCGACAGTGCACTTTCCAAGGCCATGACATGACTTATGTAAATAGTTTTAAAATATTGCGTACAAGTATTTTTTTTCAAGACGTCTGTCGTCTGTGTAGATAGACTTCTTTGATTCAAATGCATCTACGTGTTAAAGCCAAACTAGACTATTGGAATACCTTTCATTTCAATATTATTGGAGGTCCTGTGGTCATCTAAATTATGAATGGACGTACATTTTTAAATTACCGCTCAATTGTGTTGGGAAACTTTAAACTGAATGCATGATAAGGAAGATTTCTGAGATACCATGAACTTTTGCTTTCCTTGCTGATATACATATTTTACCCCTCTCCTCTAGTCTTATTTGAGGGACAAAGCATTTTCGAAACTTTTGGTGAATTCCTCTCAGTTTTCATTACTTATTCGTGATAAGAGTGATCATTAAAATTCCCTAGACTTGCTATATATATACTATTTAACAGCTAATGATATTGCAGTAAGTATATGATAATATCTACTCTCATATTATGTCCATGCACTGATTATATTTACCCGGTTTTGGCAAAGTTTGTCCACAAAGTCATCATTATTTCTGACAAAAGTCGCTCAGGTAAATTGTAGTTTCCTTGAAAATGGAATGCAGGACCGCCCAATGGAACTCCGAAAACATATGGCAGCTCTTCACCTTGGATGCTCTTGTCAGTCTAGGAAATACAAGAGAGACCTTGAACATTAGTGTGTGCATTTTACGATAAACCTGGGTAAAAAACCTTTTATAAAGAAATCCACGAGTCCATCGTCTTATTTTACAAGACGCACAAGTTGGTAATCATAAGATCATAGCCAAGATGACGTAATGGTTCTGCATTATGGAGTCCTCCCACTTAAATTCGTATGATCACCAAGTTGTGTTTGCTTACTGGTGCTTCTAGTCACCTTTGTTCATAGTCTTATTTTAATATTCTTTCAATAAAAGAAAAAAGAAGGAGGAAAGGAAATTCTAGGTCGGTAACCAATACCACAAATGACTTCGGAACTGATTTTGCACGACCAGATTTACGAAAACTTAATTTAATCCTGGATTTTAAAATTTCAGACTAAAAAATAACGATTAAATCTAATTTTGCGTGTGTTTGAATCTATATGAATAATAAGGGAGTTTATGCAAATGTACACTATAACACGCTAGTTTAGAGAAAAGCTATCTTATACATTTTGGGCATCAGCAACTCATTATCAACAAAAGTCAAAGTAAATTATACATGAAATAGACAAAATCGCATTTGGTTTGGTTTTCCCCCTAAAAAAAGTATCACGATGCATTATCAGTCAATGAAGTGATTACACTGCCCTTGCAACCCTCAAACAGTCGGTAACGTAATGTTTTAGTTATAACAATTTAAGAGTGAACATAGCAGTAAATAAAATACAATTAAAAGATTCCCTCCCAATATGACTTGGTGGTGGTATCCCTTATTAAGAAGGGGCAAACTTTTTTCTTTTAATTGTGAACTTGTTTGGTTACTGATGTGTTCACTTTTATATCATTGTTACCTTGAACTTTTTTCATTAAATGATCGCATGTCTCTTCAATTTCTGGGATATATTTTTATAATTCAGTTTATATACGCTGCATTATGACAGTTATTCTCTTTGAAAACTGTGTCGTTATTGCTTTCATAATTTTATTTTATTTTTGCTGATGGTGGATTGTTGTTGATGATGCCCAAAATCGATTAAAACCTCTTCTTCCAAAAAAGATTGTAATAGTGTACAAGAGACTTCTTTTTATAATTTAAAAAAAAAAATGCTTACCGTAGGAAAATCGCTGAATTTACTACGATGGGAGTAAACGTAGAAATATGATTTTGGGTTTGCTTGGGCGTGGTACTGAGCTGTTTGGACGAGAGGCGCAGCAACCATGGAGTCACTCAGAATCTGCTGCAGCATGTCTCGGTTGTGCTCAGCTGCAGATCGGCTATTCTCAGGCACAAGCCAATCAGAATACTGGCTCATAGTCCTTGCAAAGGCAACGTCCGGTAAAGCCTGCCAAACATAATTGCGATTAGTTTTTCATGTTTAATTAAAAAGCTGGCATATAGTAGAAATAAAATTAATCGCACAAGATACATTTTAAAAAGCTTTTTTGTGCAGACTTGCATCTGCTGTAAAGATTTTTTTTTTTCTTAAAGCCTTGTGTAAAGAGATTGTAGGTATGCTGGTGAGTGAAAAATGATACTATGTTGACACCAATATAACGCCAACATAACGCCATCATAACGCTAACAAAACGCCAACACGTTAGCAATGAAGCACTTTGTTGAGGTCAGTGAGTTAACGATTTCATAATATTTTCCTTACCTATTGATGTATAAAATATATATACATGAAAATAAAATTGCCACAATAAAAATTCAAAAATGTAAGTGCAAACATCCTAAAATGTGTATTTATGATTCAATAAATGTAGGTCCGTACTCGTCTTAAAGTTTGTGGAAACCATTGAATTTTTGCTTTTGAATTTCTATAATTTTTGGTGGCAAATCATGGCAACCCGTTGAAAAGATCCATTTGAAAAGTGCTGCTGTTGCGTTTTATATGTACTAGAGGCTCAAAAAACTTGTCTTTTTTATGACGTTAAGTTTAAGGCCTCTTCCTGTAACCTCGGCTGAGAACAATGTTTACCTTACAGGGCCTCCTTAAGGAAAAAGCTGACTGAGGAACGAATATGAGTGCCTCGAGAGCTCATTGGCAACTCAGCATAGCGAGGACTTGCGTAGAGATTCCCGTTGTGCACATTACTCTTTACAATGGCGATAATTACTCATTATGCTTTGATGAAAAAGAGGGGTCTCAAGAAAAATGGTCCATCGAAAATAGAATCGCAGTTCGGACTCGAAAGGGAGGCTGAAGGAATGAGCGAGGCTCGCTTTCCAAATTGCAGTGGCTAATTGCCTTAGTTGGGGCTCCGATTTGGGGACCAACTGCACTATGCTTTCGCGAATTTAATTGAACGCTCTCCTTCAGTAAGCCATTACAAGACGGTAAATCTTTATTCTAATTTATAGCTCCTGTCTCTCTGACTGAGAGCTCCCAACGTTGTCATACTTTGAATTTTTTTTTCATTTTTTTTAACATGCGTTGTTAGAAAACTCGAAGTATGCCCCTCCCTGCCGCCCCCCCCCCCCAAAAAAAAAAACCCCGAGTGATATGAAAAATCTGTGAGATCCAACTTTGTTAGAACAGAGTCCACTCCACAGAAATAGTAGATTCAGCTCCACACTCACATCACTCGGGTTTTCTGGGGAAAAATATGCTCCAGAGTGAGGAGCTCTTCGAATTTCACTTCAAGATCGATTAAAATGTAGACAAATGTTTCATTTTTCAAATATAAAAATATCAAGGGCTCAAGTGAAAAATATTTCATATCGACCGAAATATTCCGGTTCTATCAATTGAGATTTCGGAATGTTGAATTAAATCTTCGGATCACTGGGCCAAGTTTAGCTGTTTTGACCAAAGACGTCAGTGACGTCTGCCATTTTGAACCAAAAATCGCATATTGAACTTATCGGTACAAGAAACCGAGTCTGGTTCAGCGGACCGGTTCAACTGGACTCAGCCTAATTGCACCTGCATCCCACGTTTCTTTTTTCCCTCCAGTTTCAATATTGTAACAGAGAACTAAGCTACTCAAACTCTACTCCTTCAGACTTTCTGTCAAGTTACCCCAGATTACGGAGAATAGATCGTACTCGATACATCAAGCAGGTGAGATTTTATCGATATCGATTAGTTCGACATGTAAACATAGCCCCAAAAATTAATTTAGAAATCTGAGGAAATGGGTCCTTTATGATACACTGAAAAAAAAGTATGGTGACATTTACTATGAGTCTACTTGATTTTTTACACAGTGATACTATTTAGTGGAAATAACCAGAATTATAGTAGTATTCGCCAGAACTCTGGTGATTCTTACCATAGTATGGTAAATGCAACCATAGAGTCTGGTGTTTATTACCATATTCGTATCACTGTGTCAGAGATGGTAAAATCTACCGGCATATTTTTTTCAGTGTAGATTTTTTAGTTTTTCGAGTGCCAAATGTCAATAAAAATTACAATAGTTGTGAATTTCCTCATTGTCAGCATTTTCAACTTAAATCCTAAATTTTTTGTTTGAGATTATGTTCTATTCTTTTCAACCAAACGAGGAACCGTACCACTATCGAATTACGATTCATATACTCATAAAATTTCAAGTTTCAGTGTCGCGTCGCCTAGTTTCACTGGAAAAAAAGTCGCTTGGATCTAGAGGCCATACTCTTAAGAACATTGACAAGAGTAAATATTCTTGATTCAATATTTTTCTCGGATTTTTCCTTGAATCGAAGAGCCTAGCATCTTGATTTAAGCGGATTTCCTATTGATTCAAGCAAAAATGTGACTGAATCAAGAGTGTTTTTTCTTTTCAATGTTTTTAAGAGTCTGGTCTCTAGATTGATCCAAGCGACTTTTTTCCCCAGTGTTCCTGTTAAAACAAATAAATATCAGACATAACTATGCAACATCTGATGAAGTTAATCAATTTCTTATTCCTCTTTTTCTTCATGCAGATATGATGACGAAAAAAGTGAAAATTTTGCATGAGCTGCAATTATTTAATGATGAAGTCGGCCAATTTTGAGGAGCGATAACTTTTCTCTCACCTCGAAACGCTGTCGCATGTAAGTGCGTAACATCTTATTCCGGTCCTCAGCAAGCATCCCGTGCGCTAATGAGACGGCGTCCAACAGATGGTAGCTTTCGATTTCCGTTATGCCGTACATAAGCTCATACCTGAGAATATAAATTTCAATGCGACGGTTAGAGTCCCTCGAAAGGTGTTCGAAAATAGCGCGGATTTGCTTGATTTATCTTCGTGAGAAGCAAAATAGAAACGCATGCAAGCGCGAATCTCTTTCACACATGCACAGGAATCGCTAAGTTTACGTAGCCACTGCTGCAATAGGTACTGCGTATACCGCAGGATGTGATGAAATTGGTAATTACTTACCGCTTTCATTTCACTTTTTGGGATTTCTTTTACCAGCAATTGAAGCACTGGGTACAGGAGGGTACCACTGTTGTAAAAACTGAATAAAGCTCTTTCATGTGTCAGGAATTTGAGGTTCTAATACTGACTCCTACGTAAAATTTGGCGAAAAACACGATTGTGCCACTGGTATTCTTTGAAACAAACACCAAAGCTCAAAAAAAGCTCTCAAAGTTGAGACCGTAATGAGGGGCTATCTTCCGCCATCCCGAAAGTCCACCTCCGTATCAAGTCAAAGTCTCCTTACAAAGATAGGGAGCACATATATTTACATGGGTTGCCGTTGCCGCTTTGTTTGGGAACTAACCTTGCTAATTTTTTGCTCCCCATCTTTGCATGGAGAGTTTGATTAGATATAAAGGTGAACTCTGAGGATAGCGGGGAATATCCCCTCCAATACGGCCTCAAATTTCAGAGCTTTTTTGGAGCTTTGGAGTTGGTTTCAGAGAAAACCAGCGGCACCATCGTGTTTCTCGCAAAAATTGTACGCAATCAAATGAACCGAAATCGCAAATCCCCCACACATGCAAGAACTCAATTGTCTGAGTTAATTTTGCAAGCCCAAGTTACGTTCCTTTCACTGGAAAAAAACACATTGGATCTAGAGTCTCTTAAAAACATCGACAAGAAAAAGTACTCTTGATTCAATAAGAATCTAGCTTAAATCAAGAACTAAGCCTCTTAATTTAAGCGGATTTCGTTTTGATTCAAGCAAAAATCCGTTTGAATCAAGAGTATTTTTTCTTGTTAATGTTTTCAAGAGTCTGGACTCTAGATCCAATGTGTTTTTTTCCAGTGTTGTCAAGAAAACTTTAAGTATACGCTAATAGCACGCGTTTTTGTGGTTCAGTGGCGAAGCGTGAACGATCGATTTTCGATATTTCCGCATTTAAAGCTATGGTAAAAAGTCGATTATTAAGGTGTGCGTTGCGGACACCCTGTTTATCGATGCTTTTTCACAGATTTAAATGGCAGGTCGATATATCGCAGAGCACGCCACGTTACTATTGTTGTTGTGTACTGAAGGTTTCTGTCTCTTCAAATTTCACATAGCACTGGAAAAAAACACATTGGATCTAGAGCCCTGCAGACTCTTGAAAACATTGACAAGAAAAAATACTCTTGATTCAATCGGATTTTTGATTGAATCAAAACGAAATCCGCTTAGACTAAGAGGCTTGGTTCTCGATTTAAGCTAAATTCTGATTGAATCAAGAGTACTTTTTCTTGTCGATGTTTTTAAGAGTCTGGACTCTAGATCCAATGTGTTTTTTTCCAGTAAGACAGGAGAAGAAGGAAAAAAATGCAAGAAAAAACTGAAACTACTGAGAAGTAAAAGGCAAGGACGTTACCTACTGAAAAGCTCTCGGTAGACACCCATGACTTGGCCCGGCTGATTGGGGACGACATTACCATCGATGACGGGTCCAAAGGCAGTTTTGAACTCAGACGAGCCGATCTGGACGGCCATCAGCTCAGATAGCCGCTTGCGTCGCAGGCAGTTGGCCATCTCGTTGCTCGTTTCGGGGCAGTTCAGGGCTTCGGCCACCTGGATCGTGGAATGCACCGGGTTCGCTGTCAGGGCCCAATCAGAGAGTGCGCTTCCGCTCATTAGTATGGCGCGGTGGAAGAGACCTGTAACAAATCCAACATCCAGACTCTAGAGAAATGAACCAAGAGACAGTGTAAAGTCAGCCAATAGAAGCGACTTTTTGCATCAATTTAATCCGATCGCCTTGAATCCGATAAAATGGCTGACATAGGTACCACCAGCGGAGCGGCAGACTCATCCACAAGTATGGACCAATGGAGATGTTGCATTTGTGAGGAATTTGCGATTTGACTGTTGATTCTTATGTAAAAGTTCGCGAGAAACACGATGGTGTTACTGGTTTTTCTGAAATCAACTTCCAAGCTCAAAAAAGCTCTCAGGTTGGCGAAGAGAGGCTCAAGAGGCCAAAATGGAGGGGATATCCCACCCTTTCCTGAGAGTCCACGTCTACATCAAGACAAACTCTCCATGCAAAGATTGGGAGCAAATACATCAACAGGGTTGCCGTGTTTTCAGTTTTGGAGTCCCCAAATAAAGTAGCAGCCCTGTCAATGTATTTGTTCCCTATCTTTGCATGGAGAGTTTGTCTTGATGTAGACGTGGACTCTTAGGATGGCGTGGGATATCTCCTCCATTACACCCTCAATTTTGAGAGCTTTTATGAGCTTGGGAGTTGATTTGAGGAAAACCAGTGGCATTATCGTGTTTCTCGCGAATACAAGAATCAACAGTCAAATCGCAAATGCCTCACACATGCAACATCTCCATCACAGAGCTTCTCGCCACACGGAGAAAAATCTATGACTTATAAACCGAGTGGTTCATATGGAACACCACTAATAATTGGAAACGAACGAATGATTCTTGGTCTGTGAACCGCACCAAGGTACGTCATACCATACCAAGGTATATAAACCGTCATCAATAAGGTATATGTGCTATTATGTTGCCTTTACTACAATTAGTGGTGTTCCATACATGAACCACTAATTGGTTCATAAGCCACAGTTTTTTCTTATTACACATTCAAGCGTTTTTCCACTAAACTCCATGCCAAACTTTAGTTTGCTGTATACACTGGTATGCTGTGAAAATTCGGTACACGGACAAAATCGTTTCATCGTAATGACCATTCTTTAGTGGCCTACATAATTCAAGGTTTTACACAGCAGATAAAAAACTATGAAAAATATCGAGCAAATTAAATACCTGTCAAAAATGGATCCATTACACCCAAAGGTGCACTCCCGTAGTTTTCTCCCAAAAGATCAATTTTTTAAACCCTAAAATCAAACTGAGAGTATCTAATCGCAAAATATTGGATTTAAACATTCCATTTTTTGCGTTCAAATAATTTCAGCTTTGCTTCAGGTTCAAAAATAGAAGATTTTTTGGGAAGAATCGGCTGAATTTGCTTTCAAGTGTAATAGATTCATTTTTTTTCCTGTCAAAAACTCAGAGTGAAATCAGTATTTTGGCAACATTTGTTCTATACTGCAACGTTTGTTAACATTCGCCATAAATTCAACTTAAGTAGACCTAACTGTGATGGCAAGCGATAAGTTAGATCCTCACAGAGAACACCGCCTTCTTGTCAATCGCTATATCGCTATGAAGTTGGTACGCCTACTACATGCAACTATTCGAGCGTAATGGATGTCCGTGTTGCATACCACACAAAATGAAGGCGGCATGGTTGTCCATTCCATCGCTCCAAGGTGTGTGTTGCGGTGGCAATTAATCGTGAATGGTCGGCGATATCTGCCGTGTTACCAAAAAAGCAATAAGTGGAAAAGTAAAGTTCTGAGAATACGGACCACGACGTGGCGTTGGAGCAGAAAATAATATTCATTCAAAGAATCCTCCGTTCTTTGTAAAATTGCAAAAAATCACTCAAAAGAATCTTGGAACCAGATTGAATGATTTGACGAGAAGTTTACCTTCAAATTTTTGCAAAATTTTGAAAATTTGCTACGTGCGAATGTAGTAACGTTCTTTCATCCCAGCGATGACGAAATAGGTATCGGTCCTCTTATCATTATGAAAATGGAAGAAAGTGAGACAATTTGTTTGCCTTGAAGTGAGAATAGCCGTATAATTACCATTAGCTCCAGAAACAGGCGAGACCATAAGGAAGTTAACGCTGGCAGCCCCTGTTCCATGACCCATCACTGTGACACTGTCTGGATCCCCGCCGAAAGCTTGAATGTTATCCTTGATCCATTGGAGGGACGCTATTTGATCGAGTAGTCCGAAATTACTAACGGTGTGCTCTCCTACGCCGGGTCTGAGGAATCCTGCCGAGAAAACAACCGATTAACAACGCGGAAGAATTTACACGCACTGGTAATGGTTCAGTTGCGCTGGTCACGGAATCGTGATTTTGGTGCATGATTCTTGTACCTAGATCAGCTGAAAATAACTCCAAACAACATCTTTTTGCGTTCAGAGTGAACCGAGATAGAGCCCTTTGAAAAGTCGAGCTTATGACGTCATCCACCACGGTAGTGCCACCCTTGGTTTCTTCCACCTTGCTTTCATCAGCCGGTAAGACGCACATTTGTACTGATCATTCAACGTGAAATTTGGATCAAAGTGAGGTCAAACAAGAAACCAAGGGTGTCACCACCGCGGTGGATGATGTCATACACCCGACTTCCCAAAGGGCGATATTTCGGTTAATATTGAACGCAAAAAGTTGCTGTTAGGAGTGATCTTGTTATTTTTAGCTAATCTACAGGAATCAAGCATCAAAACACAATTCTGTTACCATCGCAACTAACCCATGGAACGTATTTCTACGAAACGGATTCACTCGTCAATTTCAGTTCCTTTTGGGGATTTTAGAATCCCAGATAGCGCGTCCTGTCAGACGGAACCAAGCGCCAAGCATTGGGAGCATAGGACGGGAGTCATGGGTCGTGCACCACCTGCACTTGCCAATCCAACCCCCCCTTCTTCCCCCCTTGCCGCTTAGTCCATTTGGCAGAAATACGTCCAATTGATCCTCAGATAATGTAGATTCAAAGTTGTGTCCAAAAACAAAAGTGTGATCCAAGTAGATTCTATTCAGAGAAAAGAATCGTTAGGACGTCCAAGAATTTGGGATCTATCACACCTACTTCTCTGGTCATAGAACAAATTTATGTAAGTGGCAACAATTCTTTTGGTCCTGCATTGTTACCGGGACCATACAATTAACTTTGTAACAACGACTAGAATAGCAGGTAGAATCTGGCATCCACTATGTTCATTGTGAGAGTAGCGATTCTTTTTTCTCCGTGTCTCTTCAAGTGGGAAATTTTTTCTCACTCTCTTTAAAATTTCGACATTCCCCTGAGTTCAACCATAAAGGACAAATATTAGCCACAGCGGTCACCTTTAAATAAGATAAAATTGAAAGTACCTTAAATAAACGTCTCATAATAATTATTTTATAGGCCTGAACTTTGACAGCAGTCATGTCTTCATTTAAAAGTGTACGCCGTGGCGTAGCCAGAAAGTTTTCATGCAGTGAGAGGAGAGTCTTCGATCAAAGCAGTCTCATAGAGGGAGTCTAAAGGTAAAGAAATCATGAAAAATAGGCCCCTCCTCTTTGCTAAGTCAATGAATGGACGTTGGTGATGTGACAAACTGTGTTTGGCGCAACGCGTGAAGTATTCCTGCAGTCTTGTAGGCGCTAATATGCGTTCGGCCGACGACGCGACGGGCGACCGTACTATACTGTCTTTTGCGCAACGCGTGAAGTATTCCTTAGTAGGCGCTAATATGCGTTTCGCACCGACGGAACGCGAGGGCAATAAAAAGACAACAACTGTAATAAAAGCACTAAGAAGCAAATAGAGCAGATCACTAATAGTGCAAATAATGTTAGTGCGAAACATCAGATTTAGCATACTCTCGACAGTGGTGCACATAGGTCAATGTTAACTTACCTAGGATACCAAGGCGAAAATTGATGGTGACTACGATGACTTTGCCATAACTGGCCAGGACGGATCCATCGTAAGGATTTCCTGAGTTCCACTCAAATGACTCGCCATGGATGAAAACGATCACTGGTAACTTAGGTGTGATGCTCTTTAAGTGATCTGAAACAAAGACATGAGTGAAAAATTAATGATTATGTCTCGATGGTAAAAATTGAATAAATAAGAAAGGAATTGAGACATGGGTAAACAAGGCTAAAACATTAAAAACTCTAAAAGACAGGACGTTTCGAGCTATTACCAGCTCATTGTCAGCTGCACAAAGCATAGACAAATTTATAAAAATTGAGTGGCGATCTGACCCCAGCTGTTATCACGTAACCATTGGAATCATGTAATAATCGAATACATAAGGTTTTGACCGAATGGATACAGTTCTGTCTGAGCAAATAATTTGACTGAATAAATCCGCGGTTTTTCTTAAAAAGGTCCAATAATCTAAAATAACTATAGGTACGCTCCCTGGCCCTGGCCGTATCCAACTCGGAAAGCGCTCTGCGCACTCTAAAGCCTGCTTCGCGGGTCTACATCATGAGTTAATCTAAATAAAGCGGGCTTATCTGGAGACTATCTTTCATCGATGGCCGCAAAAATCTCGAAAATCGGCTTTGTAGAACAAAAGAACGAATTGTGACTAAAAACCCAAATTTTCGGGGTTGGAGAGCTTCTCTAAATGATATTATTAATCTTTCAAGTGGTAAAGAATCGACGAATTTTACTTTTGCCTATAAAATGGGACTTATTTATTTTTTCAGGCAAAACACCTGTATGTGCAATTTTCTACATGTTTGCTTTGATCCAATTGATTAAATTTTTAGCAAAGAAATGATAAAAGTTAACTGAACCAGAGCAGAAACATTTCAAGAGCGAGTGTCTCATTATTATGGGGCTGTTAGCAAACATGTCAAACTTAAAAGCTAGGAGAAGAGTTCCTCGCAAGTGAAGGCTGAATTTCAAATCTGATTAGGGATTTGATGAAATATTTAGATTATGAAGGAGCCTGGGGTGCGTCCTGGACACTCCATTACACTTCATTATATACTTCATTAATTCGTCTGTTTGCAGCGGCGAAATATGAAACGCCGCTGCGGCCTGACACTGCAAGTTTATTTCAAGCAACAATCGCGCTTGTAGTACACTCACAAATGGCACTGTCGTCTGGATTCTAATCTGCGTTGCGTAGCGCATTGACCTCGGAGTCGCTTGAAAGCAGACTTGCGTTTTTGGGAGCTTCAAGTCATTTGTCAATAACGTTGAAATTCCGTCTTCTCTTTGCATATTTGTGTATTTTTTTGATTGACCTCCGTTGTCTGAGAGAGTCTGAAGAATGATGCGCCTTCATTTAATCAAGTAGGCCATACCACTCGCAAGAGTCGAATTAGTTGCATGTTCAGTAACTACTAAATCAGGGTAGTAGTTCTGGAGAGGGAATCAAGTTATATCAAGTATTGCCAAATTTAATTGGAGAGTGATTTATTTGTTTAAATATGCATGCTTCCACAGTCTCACATGAAATATTCGGGAAATTCAATCTTTGCCATAAAGTAAATTCCATGAAATTTTCGAGAGAATACGTGCAAGCATTGTCGCATTTTAAAAGAATATCCTCTTAAATTTGGCAATGGCTCAGAAAAAAACTTCGTGCATGGGACCTGAAGTTGAGGTCATATGGATCTCTGAAGTTTTCGGATCACATATCCAAAAACTTGAGGTCCAACCGCTGAAGTTCGGGTCAGACATCCGAAATACTTCGGTAAGCACTGGGGTACTCAGATGTGTGACCCGAACCCTTCGGTATGCACCTAGGTACTTCAGATGTCTGACCCGAACTTCGGCAGCTAGACCTCAAGTTTTCCGATGCGAGATCCGAAAAATTCAGAGATCCATAAGACCTCAACTTCGGGTCCCATGCATGAAGTTTTTCCCTACGTGCTGATATCGTTTAATATCTTTCCAAAAGGCGGCATACATCTAAGAACCTCACTTTTCTCATTCAAGCTTTATTTACTTTCCCGTCAGTGAAAGTGTTCTTTGAATCAGGCTTGGTTACATATTCTGAAGCTTAATTCCGGTTGCTGGTCCGTGACATCTACGTAGGATGCTTGTTTTGATTCAACAGCCGACAAAGCAGTCGTATAATGAAAATCATAGACTCAAAACATTTTGCAGCGGTGACTTGGAAGGAAGTGAAAGAAATGTTTTCCCGTTTTGGTATGTTGAAAATGCATATCAAATTTCCTTTACTTGTTTACGCTTTAGACTGACATCAAAGTCATAAGCTGACAGAAAGCTTTTGATTCCGGTTCACACACTCTCGCCACAAAAACAGCTAGAAAAGTTTGAGTGAACAGCAAATTGGAACATTTTTCGAATTACGACCGTTTCTTATCCATACTACCCAAGACTCATATTAGGTAATTGACTCACTTCCTGACTAACGAACTCACTTATTTAGCACTTTTGTGCGTTCTGCCTAGATGAAAATTTCCATGCATTAATTTAAGGATAGTTTTTGGACAAAATATCCTTTTTGCGTGAGAGGATGTACATATTTTAGGTAAGGAGGTTCCATTACACATTGTGTCAGAATAATGAGAAGAGCTTGAAGTACACCTGCACTGTACATGCCATTTTCCTTGTTTAAAAATACCAGTACGCTTCATAAATGCGGGACATAAAAATTCGATTCATCGTGAAAATTACAAATTGATGTACACATAACATTTTCCCATAATGTATTGATGTTGAAAGTCGAAAATGCGTATTTCTGATTGCGATATTGAAAACGTTTGCTCCTGATATATGTATTTTTTAAAGGAAGGTCTAACTAACAGTTTAACCAAAAAAATTTCTGTAAATTTTTACACATTTGTACGTATATACAGAGCAGTATTTTAGTCTTTACTTTCCTTTGAAATAATGTAAACGTTATTTGAGGTTTTGAAATGATGGGATGGAGATACACATTTTTAGATTTTGGTCAATGTTTTACATGGTGGATCGATGTGTGACGTTACAGCCCAGAAATGGAAACTTAGTTTTATGGCCACTTAATGATTCCGATGTTTCGATGAACTACTCCCGTGCGACCGCCGTAGCGGAATGATCTATTTTTGACCCAATATACAGGGTCCCTCTATTTTCCATTACGTCAAGTGAAATTTTCAAATTCCCGCTACAGGGTCATTTTACGTTACGCGTGAAATAAACATTTGGAAACGAAATAGAGTCACATAGGTCATTGTACCCAAATAGTGTTATATGTAATGTAACTAGTCAATTTGCAAACCGCTTCAAATACTTCTACTATACCTCCTATAATTACTCTGATAAGGAATGACATTAAATGAGCTTATAGTGATGATGATTAAGAGGGTATTTCCAAATTAACACCTGCATTCAGCAAAATAATTCAGAATCATTTGTGTGGACAGTCAAAACTGGGTGAGCACCTACATGTGTTGCTAAGATTGTGCGTGGTAATCCTCACTTAAGAGGGGCCTAAATGCTGTCGCATTCATGTTCTTTCCATTGAGCAATTTTCTCTTTTGTATGATATTTCTACAAAAAGAATTGAAGGACTTAAGCGACTGGATTTCTGATAAAGGGGAGAAACTGTAGCGCGATCATTGCAACACCTGTATGGCGCTTAGGTTTTGAATTTCCTTTCTTCGTACGTAACCGTCAGTTCACCTAACCTTTTTGTCATAACGCGACAGAGTATATTCTTTGTTTAATAGGAAGAAATCAGCGCGCACATTCTCTAGAAACTTTTCGTCTCGTGACACCTGCTGAAAATTAGTCCGTAAGTACTTATCGAAAACGAGCTTGGCGGTATATATACGTCCCACCCATGAATAACCAACAGCAATGCAACTATGAGGTTCCTCGAGATTTTCCATCCGCAAATTCCACGGGGGATCTTGCTCCTTGAAAAGAAAGTTTCCGGATCTGCCAAAAATGATTTTCTCTGCTGTCTCCGTAAAATTTGGTGTGTTCGACGTGGCTGCTGCCTTCTTCCACGCTGCGCAACTTGCCCGCCGAAAATCACTTCTTCCGGGGATCACCCCCGTGGTTCTGGACCTTGTGGCACCTGCTCTAGTCGCTGTGTGGTCTGTTCTCGTGGGAGTGACCGTGTACGCATTTGCTCTTTAGGGAATAGATTATTTCAAGGAACCGCTCGCCGTCAATCACAAAACGGGTGTTGTTCTCAAAGTTTTCGCTAAATTTGTTAAAAAGCTTCTCAACAAACGCCTTCGGAATATGGTACCAAAAAATTGTATTATTATTCTTCTTTCCTATCGGCAAAATTCCGCAATCTTTAGATGTGACTTGTTCAAAATGGAAATTATTATGATGAGGTTGTAATTATTAAAGACAAACTTTTAAATATAAAATACTTATAATTTAATAAGTGTTTTTTTCGTTTCTCTTAGAAGCAAAAATTGCAGAAGATATAAAGCTTGTTGAAAACGAGTTTCGCGGCGAGCCAACAGAGCGATATTGTATTGATCGATGCAACTATTCAAGCTCAACGGTTGTCCGTATTGCATACGCATAGAGTTGAAGGCGCTCAGTTTTTTCTCACAGTTTTATCAATGTGGTCAGTTAACTGTCACGTGGCGCTGGTGGAAGATGATATGTTTTCCCCAAGGGCTGTTTTCATAGGTGTATAGGTATACGCCTCCTAAAAAGCTCCTTTCCGTAAGGAGGTTTCCTATGGTTCACAATGCGATTAAGGGAGGCTTAAGGGCTCCTTAATGTAACATTGTAAAAATGACATTTTTCACGGAGCTCGAATGAAATTTATCGGTTTGATTTTGGAAATATATATTTACAAGCGATTACAATGATTTACCATTGCAAAAAAATATAAAATATAAAAGAAAAGAGTCCTTGGTTTTGAAACTTTAGGGTTGGAAGGGATCTACCTTAAAATTTTTAAAGCCTGCAATTCACTCTATTTCGTGTATCTTATATTTATTTTGCGGTAGCAAATAATTGCAATTCCTTTTTGGTGTCCATTCCTCAGAGTTTTGGGCCATATGACTGCCTCCGAAACTTGAAAGGAACAAAAATTGTTAGAAGAGGAGGGGCGGACT